GGCTTACAATCTAGTGAAGGTGACAAGTCACACACAGAAATAATGTATCATACAGGGCAGATTTATGTATAAAGATAAGAGTTTAAAAAAAAAAACAGGAAAGGCAAATTCTCAACTGGTGAGGATCTGCAAAAGCCTTTGGGAAGACATTAGTTTGCACAAAGAAATACGACTTATCGCTTCACTCTTATTTTCCAGAAATGCAGCACTAGGCAAAGTTAATTAAAGTGCTTCCACTTAACAATCCCCTCACCCCAACAAACTGCACAGATTTGTTAGTTCAGGAATTAGGAAAGATGGTGTTGTATACCTGAATCTCAGTAACCTTAGGCCTACTTAACTCTGACCCTGAGTTAAACCAATGTTAACATGTGCCTTTGTTTGTGGCAGGTATTGATGTATCAGGAAGAGAATGGGTAAATGAATATATACGCTACCCCATTCTACTAATCCAAGGAGCCATTTTTCAGTCACTCTCACAGAAATGCCTCCTACAATTTAGAGAATGCTCTCCTAGCACCAGATAGGCATTTCCAAACCCTGGTTTATTTCCTCTCGGTCTCTGTGCATCAAGGTTCGTATATATATTCTGGTATGTCTAACATTTTTTGTCTTAATCTTTCATAAATACCCTCTTGTACCCCCAACCTATTGCCTTCCTTGGTTTTCAAGAAAGGAACTCATTACAATGCTGGATTATTAATTCAAGGAACAGTATTAAGGGATTTTCATTGGCAGGGGATGGGGGTCTGAGATGTTTAAAATGCAGTTATTTTTAAAAAAAAATTTTTTTTGGTGGTCATGAGGTAAAACTCGAGCCCTGGTGGCATAGTGGTTAAGATCTCGGCTGCTAACCAAAAGGTTGGCAGTTCAAATCCACCAACCACTCCTTGGAAGTCCTATTGGACAGTTCTAGTCTGTCTTAGAGAGTCGCTATGGTCAGAACCAACCCGACAGCATCTAACATCATCATGAGGTAAAACCACCATTAAGATACGAACTTTACAGAATCAGTGGCTCAAACAAGTACTCTCTGGCTAAAGCTTATGTTATTACCGTGAAATTTTGGGTGGTCTTATTATCAGCACCAAAAATTTAAGCATTTCATGTTTCTGTCATTTCATTTCTGTTATGGAATAACTATCTTTTCAAACCCGTTTCTTAGATACAGGCAGTTGGTCATAACTTTAGAAAATGTAAAATATTTAGTAACTGCTTCAAAACTGAAAATATACTCACCTATTGATAAGTATTAAAGACTGGAAGAGGCACTTTTTTATAATCTAACACCAACATTATCTTATATAAGATGGCTAATGTTTTTTTCTACTTTAAGTTACTCCTTAAATAAATCTCCACCTTGTTTCTTATGTTAACTATAAGGGAGAAAATGGCTTCCTTTCATAACAAGAAAAATGTTAACTATATTATTTCAGATGTTTAAATATAGCTTTCAATTGACTTCAATACCTTCTGGAAGTATTCTGGAAAAGCTTTGCAATCCTCCCTTTTGGGCTTTATTAGTTATTTTGTAAAATATAAAAAACTACAGCACTCAGACATGGTGCCTATAAACTACCATGCAACTAGGCTTGGTTCAGCATTGTGAAAATTCACTAATATTAGTACTTCAATTCCTTACCTTTGGTAAAGTTACTACCAAATAATTAAAATCAAACTTTCTCTTCACTAAAAAGAAAGTTTTCCTATTTTGGCAAACTGATTCCAGGTATAAGAAAATAAACTCAATACAGTGTATCTAAATAGAAATCAGCTAATTTTATTTAAAATCTTTCCTTATATTTTAGTAGACAGTTACTATTTAAATTTAGGTTTAACTAAATGATGAACACAAGATTCTAAAATAGCCGGACTTTGAATATTATCAGTTATATGGTCTATACTGTTCAATTTGTTAAACAGTATACACCAAGTATGTGTAAGTATACATCTTGATGTATACTTACATATTCACAATAATTAACTTTACCCAGATATTCAGAGGTTCTACCACTTCTATTTTCAATTCATATTTTTTAAAAAGCCTATATAATTAAAATAGTTTCGCTCACTTGCAATTCATGATTTCTTGAGACTAAGAAAACTTCTCAAATAATGCGCACAGAAACACTGATGGCAGAAATGGAGCAAAAATTTTTGTGGGACTCCAGGCTGACCATGAGTCGGAATTGGTTTGACAGCAGCATGTAAACATTGGCTTCAGAGTTAAGAGACCAACCATAAATATTCCTATCTTAATAATCTCTTTCAAGTACTGAGTTTTTGAATGTTGATAACAATGTGTTATTCTTAAATTGGTTTAGGCCTTACATTTGGCCTCTGCCAAGTTCAATAGCTTTTATCTCACTAAAGCAGCATATGAAACTGTTATTGATCATGGCAGATGATTGGGAGAGTGTAATTACCATATGCTGTTTGAAAGGTATCAGTAATATTGAATACAAATGATTCTGAAGATTTTCCTTGCTGTTGCAAAGCATAAAAGCATCAGATTCTTCAGATATTGCCAGATGCTTTTAAACCATGGTTTTGCTTCCTTTAAGCAGAGGTGGTTTTTTTTTTTAATCCCCCAGAAGATAAAAGCCAAGATCTTATGTTCTTGGTGTCCTACAAATTGTAGATCAGGGATATTTTACTATGTTCATCGTTTTCGTGACTACAACAGACACTACCTATTTTGGCTGAAGATTTTGGTTTGAGCAGTTGGTTTGGAGTGGGGTAGAACTCCAAGACACCAGAAATGGGTTGAGGGAAAGATAAGGCAATGGGTGTTTATACACAATAGTAATGGAAAATAACAGAGCCCTGGTGGCTCAACGGTTAAGAGCTCAGCTGCTAACCAAAAGGTTGGCAGTTCAAATCCACCAGCTGCTCCTTGGAAACACTATTGGGCAGTTCTGCTCTGTCCTATAGGGCGACTATAAGTTGGAAAAGATTTGACGGCACATAACAACAACGGAAAACAAGGCTAGAAGGATGAGCTGGAGCCAAATTATAAAATTTTAAATGGCATATGTAGCTTGCATTTTCTCTTGGACACTGCTGTTATAGATCCTAGAGCAATCGGCCAGACCTGAACTTCCTAAAGGACGGGTAAGATTTTGATACAGAGAGGATATTCCAGGCCTATTTAATAACAGTGAGTGATAAAATGTGGCTGCATATAAGCGACATTAACAGAACATTATCTCCAACAGAGCAAAGCACTCTAATGGGTACTGCATGAAATGCAGAACTGGCACATAACACAAATCAATAAAGTTCTGACACTGTAACAGTTCACATAGATGTGATGGGAAGCCTTGTTGAGATCAGAGACAAGTGTAGAGGAAAAGAGAAATAAGGATAAGAATGGAGTGCTCACAGATTAGAGAACCAGCCTAGTGCCAAGGAAACTTTTTCAACAAGTGATTCAATGTAGTAAATGCCAGAGGCTAAAGTTTTTAATACATAATTTCCTATCAGGTTAGTGGTATCCAGTGAACAGCTCCTGAAAATAGAAGAGGAAAACCAACTTAAAAATATCATTCCAAAACCACCAGGCTCCATAGAAAGTGCAATAAAATGCTTTCCTCTGAGAATGAGAAATGTGGGATTTCAAGCTAAAGGTGGTTTATTGGGTGGTGGGGGAGGGGGGATAGAATAACCACTGCTTAGGAGAACACCTCTGCTACTGTAGGTGATATTATGCTGGCACTATAATTTTCAGAGAACACGTGAAATATAGCAATAAATTAAAGAGGATGGGAGGATGGTTAACAGTTGAAGGCTGCCTTGTATGTTCTGGTCAGGTTCATTTATGTTAAATGAAGAGTTTTGCCTAGTTTCAAAGTGAAGATGAACACTTAAGGGTTTAAAAATAAATAGAAATTACTATTACAAAAGTACACAGATGTTGCTTGTATACACTAGTTGACATGCTCTCTCCCATCTATGTGATTCAGGTTGAGTCCCAACTAGTGCAATATTTAGGAAACTTGAGGATAACTGGAATACTTTCTGGACTATCTAATGAGGGGTTGATACAGTTCTCTCTCAGAATATACTTGGGCTCCAGTATTAACTTTAGAACAAAAGTATTTACCTTACTCTACCACGAATAATACCACAAAAATAACATACTAGGAAATGTTCATACATGTAAAATATTACAGGATGAAAAGTCTAAAGGTAACATTTCTCATGTTCTGTGAAACTAAGCTATCACAAAGTATGAAATGAAGCAAAAATTCTTCTAGGCACAATTTTGCCAGAAATATAAGCTAAATGTCATAGAATGCTCTGAGCTGGAAAAAAAAAAATCAAGCTAATTTAATCATCTCTTTTTACAGGTAAGGAAACCGAGGCCCACAGGTTCAATTTGCTTTTGCATATAATTGTTTTCATTAAATGGCTCAGTGACAGGGAGAAAATATTTTTATCACCTAGAACTATGGGGGGAGGGGGAAGCAGGCATAAAAGTCATATTGAAATCATAAGACTGTATTAATACACATACAGTATTTTACTTTAGCAACCTGTATCTTTTACATTTACATTAAAAATGAGTATGTCTATACAGGCCACATCAGGCTTATCAAGAAGAGCAGTCATATGAATACAAGAGATCAATGCAAGATGTAAGAGTACCATATGCCCATCCATTTTGAGTTTACAGTTAAGCAGCTTAATTTTCCTCTTTAGTTTCCTGGTATGTGCGTTGTGTGTATGTATGTATATATATAAAATAACAGCTAATTAGGAACAAATGTTTTATTATCTGGAAGAGGTCCATAACAGCCACATGACTCAAGATTTTTACGATGACTTTATGTGGACAAATTTAAATAAAGGATTTAGAGTCTCTAATAAGCAAAGCAGCCCTGGTGGCGCAGTGCCTGGCTAACTGAAAGGCTGGCAGTTTGAACCCACCAGCTGCTCCTCGGGGGAAAGATTGCGGCAGTTTGCTTCTATAAACATTTACCGCCTTGGAAACTCTATGGGGCAGTTCTACTCTATCCTATAGGGTCGCTATTTATGAGTCGGAATTGACTCCATGGCAGTGGGTTTTGGGTTGGTTTGCTAAGCAAAGACAAGTGTATGACATAAATACAAAAGCATATATTCCACAAGTAGACTAACACAGGCTCTCATCAAATCCCAAAATACCAAATCTGGAAGAAGGTAGGATTGAGAGATCTCTGCCACAATAAGGAATGAAGTGTCATTACCTGATAACAGCAAGACATCAAGGTAAGCTGTCAAATGTAAATGGAAAAAACAAAATAATGCTCAATGGTTTCTTTTTAAATGTTCAGAAATTATATGCCCAAACATTTTCTGAACCTTTCGTACTATTCCCTAATCCTTTTTGAAGAGACCTTCCCCCCAATAAAGAAAAAAATGGGTCTGCCCAGTCAAAAATATCACTAAATATATTTGCATTCTTAGTCACAAAACATCCTCTATGCTAGGGGCTGTTCAACTTTTTTCTAGAAATTTTAAATGAATTGGTATGAAAGTGATAATACAAATTAAGATGGTTCCTTTTAATATTTCAAGATGAAGTGCCACCTATTGTTTTACTACCCAGTTCTATTAAAAAAAAAACAAACACGTTTTTAATACTAAACAATTTAGGTACAAAAGATGAAATGAAGCTCATATTAGCACTCACAGCAAGGAAAAGGGATAATTTTCAATGGCAGGAATGAGTGGGAAGAAAAAGATCTCTGGTTTGCAGGAGGAGGGGAAAGAAACACAGGTGATTAGCTGAAGGTCTGTAAAACAAAGAACCACCAAGCATTTGAAAAACATCAGAAGCACGAAAAGACATAACCAATGTAAACTATTTCAACTCATCCTAGAAGAAAGTGTTAACTTTGAAAAATCTCTAGCATTCAAGAGTGATCAAAATACTGCATGCATCAGGCTGCTACACTGCTAAAATCTAAGAAGTGACGTTTTCTAGCAAATTGATGGATAAGGAAAAAAAATTTAAACACAAGAGAATCCAGGACAGTCCAATTATTCCAATCCAAGCTCTAGAGAGAGCAGAAAAACAAGCTGGAAAAAGTGAAAAGCAAAACTGAGTAACAAACTGTTGAGAGTTCAGGTTAATAAGCAAAATAAATGAACACCTATGCATACAGCCTTATGAAATTTTAGAAAACTAAGTAAAAAAATTCTGAATGTCTCCATGAGAAAAAAACCATACAACCTACAAAGAAGGAACTGCATTCAAATCAGACTTGCCATCAGCAACACTGGACACTAAAAAAACAAAGTGGAACAATGCCTACAGAGTTCTGATGGAAAATGACAATGCAAGTGAGTAAATTCTATATCCAAACTCTATCAACGGCAAGAGACAGGTATCTTCTAGTATGCAAGACCGTTGACAGTTCATGTACCCTTTCTAAAATATGTTAGTTGAGAACATACTGCAGCAAGAAGAAAAGGGAATCCAAGAGGAAGATAAAATCGAAGAAATTGTGGGCCCCAGCAATGCAATGGGTGGAAAAACAAACTCCCAGGATGATAGGAGCACATACAGCATCCAACAGTACAAAAGCCAGAAGACCTCAGTGTATTACCTTTTCTTCTCTGCTACCAAGAAAAAAGTTAATTAGAAACTCAAGAAAAAATCAAAGTCATGATCCCTATTTTAACAATGGCATGAATCTAAGCAACTGATGGAACATAAAAGAATAAAATTTATCCGTACTCTTGGAATTTTGCCCTCTGAAGGGCATGGGTTTTTTGGCAAAGTAGAATCAATTACCTGTGGATCTAAGCACATTACTTATTATATAAATGCAGTTTTGGCTATCTAGGTCTAGAGGCAAAGTATGAGAAGATAATTCGTTATGTTACAAACTTGATGGCAAAAGAGTAAAGATATCAGTAACAGGAGTTGGGAAAAGAAAGAAAAAAGTATGAGTGTGCTGTTTCCTTATATAATGAGTAAACATAATAAAATTGGTAGTAGGGAATTAAGTGCATTTAAAGTAATAAAGGTAACTAATTGAATTTAAAATAGTTTGGCAAAAGAACAGGAGTGGTATTAGCTAAGTTGCTTACCAGGGGAAAACAAAATCTGCTTAAAGTTGGTAATAATTAGAGGTGTAGAAAGTATAACCGCCATGAACTAGAGAGAGGGGGTTATCTCTGAGTGGGGCAGGGTTTCAGGCAAAAAAGAGACTTTCATATCCTGTGCTGTTCACATGTTTTCCAAGTACAGATCTCTTTAAAGTGCCATCAAGTATATATAAGCATAAATAACACCTTAACTCATCATTACTCAAACTAGGAGGTATATACACACTGTAGTGAGACACAGTGCCTTAAACTCAAAACCTTTTATTTTTGAGCCTTACTTTTCAGGTGATAATTTCAACCACCTACTGTCTGGTAAGTAACATAAAGCTATTCATATGGATGCAACTAATGCTCTAAGGTTATTTTAAAATATAAAATGGATTACTCTTAGGAATAACTGTTTTCAAGACTTTGTTATCTAGCCTTCATGCTTTTCTCAGGATCTCAACATCTCTGTATTCTGATCTTCAAAAGTGCTCTGTAAAAGAATCTTATAAAAACTTTATAAACCAACTATACTCTTAACCAGCAAAACAAGTGTCACCACCTCATACAAGGAATCTGTAGGTTGATACTGTTTTTGTTTGGCAAATTAAATTGAACATGAAGGAAAATTGCTAGATTTCCTCAAGTCCATGATAAAGATGACTTGTGAACCCCCTTTTCCTCTAATTTCAAATAATAAAAATGTGAATAGTAACAACTTTCACACGGGGTTAACAATTACAGTTAATAAATATAAAAAACATAAAGCAGTCTACAGACTGGAAGACCAACTTTTCCATAATATGAAGACAATTTTATGATTTTTTTTTTTTGGAAAATATCAGATTGACAATTTCAATCTGATCTTCAAAATCTGACTTAACACATTAGTATTTTATGTTATTTTTTAAAAATCTTCCACATTGTAAATTATGTGGTTCAAGACATGATTCCAATTTTTTCAAGTTAACATGATACAATTAAGCCTCATTCAACATGCTAAATTTCCACTACAAAATAAAAATATATTTAGGAGTATTTTTTAAATGCCTGCCTAGCATCAATTCAGATTTCCTTGCCCTCAAAGAGCTTCCATTCTAAAAGGAGCCAAAATAAATCATAGAGAAGAAACTGAATGACCTTAAATTAGGGAATAATTTAAGCAGACTGACAAACAAAGACTCTTTGGGATAAGCCAAAGAAACTGAGTAGCTGTATCTACTTGCTGGGCCCCTACCTTTGTTTCCCTAAAAGCTAAATGGATCTTCAAGAAATCAATCAAGCCCTGTTAAATGATGTAATTTCAGAATTTCAACTTTTAATTCTAAATGACGCTGACGTTAGGCAGGGTGCACCTGTCCTTAATTATTTTGAAGAACTATCAGAATTTAATTTCTGCAAATTCATGGAAGATTTTTACTATTTCAAGAACAAAGCAAGAAGGTAGAAATTAAATTTTGCCAAAGTAACATTCTGTATTACATACACATGTGGAGTAGAATTAAAAAATGTATTCTGTCAATTTTTATAGATTGCCTTTGATATAAATTGCTCATTACTTTTCTCCAAGCATTATCCAAATATTATACTGAGAAACACAATGTTTTTCCAATTTTTCATGACATGTTAAATTAAAGCAATTTTAGAGGTCTAATTCACGGTCTTATAATTAAACCAACATGAACACTGACATTTTAAAAATTATATTTTGAAAAAATGAACTCGTAAGGGTTCTTTACGCACAATGTTAAACAGATATACCCAGCTTTAGCAATACTGCGTTCAAATGATACAGTACTGGCATTTTCTAATTCTCACAGTAAGTTACACTTTTGTCAAAGGCAAGATTACACAAATTATTATTCAAGGGCAGATTATTCAAATTTATTTTCTTCATGTCATTTAAAGTTTGTACTATTTAAATAAGTCACAGAAGATGTAAGATGTGGAAAACTCTTCATTACATGGTCATGGTTTAAGTTTCTACACTTAATAGGCCTAATTTTTATCATTTAGAATCTACAAAACTCTTTTCCACAGGTTTTATATTATGAACAAACCCTAATCTGCTTATTCTTTAGGTAACTTGTGGACATTAGTGGCTAATTCACACTAAATCCTTTGCCCTTCTGCCTGAAAAAAACAAAAACACTGTAGCTCATCAATGACACAAGATGCCAAATCCCTTGAGTATCCTAAAATTCTCTCCAAAGCAAGGTAAACTTTGTCACAAAAATCTTTTCAAAACAGCTAGAAGCCTAAAATTAGGACAAGAAATGACAATTCATAAACATTACAGACAGCAGCCTTTGTAACTTCTCATATTAGAATGTTTTAAGCCAGACAAAATCAAATGCATTCATTGAAGCTAGTAGTAAATTATTATCTTCCTCCTACTAAACTTCACTTATGAACACGTTTTAAAAAGCTGTTTAACGCTTAATGACACTGATTTCTAAAATGTGACACCTCCCTCACTCAAAAAGGTAATTTTATTCAGCACCCCTGACTTCAAGAAAATGTTAAGTACTAGTTTGGCATCTGCAGAGGATCAAACAGGCAACGGAAATGATTTTCAAAATGCCCTAGTGGTACACCATAATTTCTCAAGTTATCATAAAATTTCCATGACTGTTCTGAAACAAGAAAAACTTTTTTGCACTCAGTATAAACTTTGGAAATCCTAAATAGAAAAAGTGACCTAAAAGGATTCTTGTACTATTCAAGTAGCTGGAGCTATACCTGTCCCAAACCCCCTACCCCCAGAAATTCTAGGTCTGTAAGTCAAAAGCCCCAAATTTATTTATAAGTTCCCCATTCTTTAATAGAGATTTATCAACTTCTCTTAATGAACACATTTTAAGCTTTCACCTACCTAACCTCATTTGCAGTCATCTAAATGTGGAACATTAGAATAGATTGTTTGTTGTTCTCTCCTGAATTCCTTGCAACCTCAACTTCTCATTTCCAAAATCTTCAGAGAAAATGTCTATTTGCTAGTGACAGAGAAGGAAAGAACACTGCGTGGTGGAGCATGTTCCCAGAAACATAAAAATGAATTACCGTAACTTCTTCATCGAATCCGCTGACATGTATTTGACCATTTTCATCATCACTTAATGAAGACCAGACCTATGTATTTACTGTTAAATATCCCCCCGTCATGTGCTTGCAACTGAGGATCTTGGGGAATTTGTTTTTACCAGTCTAGTTGATTTGAATGTATGGGTTACCAAAAGATGAAAGAGCTCTAAAGACTCCAAGTGTCTATTTAAAAGCTGTTAAATAAAAAATGATGAAATGGAGGACACCCACAATAATTCTTGGACTCCTGGAGATCCTAAGACATGCTACAAAAATAGGTCTTTATTCTTAGGAAAATATAGTCAGAGCTAGCTTCCTTATGCTATACATAGAATCTTAACATCAGAGGCAGTACAGATAGTACAGAGTTTTTGAACTGATCTCCAAACAAGCACAAACCCACTACGTTGAAAAGAACAGGAAATTTGAGGTTTTTGGCAAAAGACAGTACTTCATACATCTAACCCAAATCAAAGAGCCTGCAGACAGTTTTCAGTGAGATGAAAGGAATGAAATAAATATATAAATTTTATGGATAAATGTAAAAGACAATTTAAAAATAAGCTAACAAAACTAATATTTTAATTAAAATACTAATCAGGTACAAGCTTTTGTTTCTCAATGCCAGACTTCTAAATGTTTACCTTTATTAGACTACTGTTAATATCATTTGACCCAGAGTATTAATTATAATACTGATTTGCACTTATAAAAAAGACTGTTTCTTCCCAACTGAATACTTCTGGTCCTGAAAAACATTTTAGTTATTACTAAAGGCAGACTGTGCTACTAATGGAATTTATATAAAGTACTATCTTAAGTACCTTAGAAAAGCTGACAGACCCAAAAAAATCCATCTACTATTTTGCCCATAGTTAAAAATGTCTGCAAACATTGGCTCATAAGTAGCATCTTACGATACGTAGTGGCACACCCTACTGAGTGGTATGATTACTGAATAATTTATACTACACCTTAAAACATCCCAGGTCTGTTCCTTTGATGTATTGTCACTTAAACTTTTTATTCATTAATTCTACACCTACCACTGAATTCCTATGATCAGAAAAAAATTTTATGGTATACATCATTGGGAAAAAAATGGTCATGGTGGGTATTCTTGAAAATTATACGAACCTGAATAATCACTTCAATCTAGGGTTAGCTCCCTCTTCTAAATGCATAAAGCCCTCCTGTTTTTAACTTCTGTTAAAATACAGACTACATGTCATACTCTGTAATAACAGTGATCTTTTGCTGTTTCTGATCAACAGTGACTTTTGGCTCAGCAGTCAAAAAAGTTGTCCTGCATGTGTAATTCTGCCCATCCACCATGCAGCTCATCCTAATATTAAGTTTTTCTAAATATTTTATATACAATTGAATACCCCAGGTCACCCCATCAATCCATTTCTGTTTTTCCATTTGATTATGAGGAAAATGCTAATATTCTGTTAAGTTCAGCTTACAGTAATCAGTAGAAAAATTTCTCATGGCGCTACAGCAACCGCCATCATGTGTGCAACAGCTTTTTGTGCTCAATTCTCCCTTCATCTCTCTTATTTAGTTGTAATGGCTGAAAATATTTTGTAAAAAGCATGTTTGGTAGAATACGTATAACACAATTTTCTCACAAATCAACTTTCTGAATATTGATAAACTAAATTTATGATTGCCAAGTAGTCTGCAGAAACAAAATCTTGCGTCTGTTTTTGTTAGGTAACTCAAGTTTTCTTTTTAACATTCAGAATGCTTTACGGATACATTTTTCACCCCAAGGAAGGGAGCTGACTCTTGCATTTCAATTTCAGACCCTTGCCGTGACAATACATACAAAAATTTTTAACTTGTCATCTGTCCATTCTTTGAAGCTGTCAAAGCCAAGAACCCAAAAACAAATCACAAATAGTAATAACCTACAATAGTTAACATTCCCCCTTAACATGTTGACATTTTTACTAAAGGATTAGTTATTTTTGCATTTCCATTTCTTATATCCCATGACATTCCATATAAATTGCATTATTGCTTTATAGGCCACACAACATTCAGAAGTATGTTTATATGCATTGCCTGTTTCCTTGATCTCTGATAAGAGTTTGATATGGATTTTACTACAGAAATTTAAGTTTGAAAATACCAGTTAGTATTTCTCCTCAGAACTTAATTGTTCACATCACTAATCACTACATGCATATTTAGCTCTGATTATATTGCTCAAAAACTGCACCCATTATCAGAACAGTGCAAATGATATTTAATTTTAAAAGCAATTATAATGGCTTGAATTCAGTTATTCAAATGAACACTGTCAAGTAATTTCACTTGAGCGTGTATATATTACCCCTGTTTACATTAGCCTTAAGTATAACCAACAATTCTTCACAATTTCTTTATATCATCAGTCTTCCCTCCCAAGTCCCCAAACTATGAATGCCAAATAGTCTTGGAAATCCACAGCTCCACGATATTGTAATGCTTAAGAACACATTTGTGGACTCACAAAAGTGTTCATCTTTCAACTTTGACAATGCAGTTCTACTTAAGTCAAACAAACTTGCCCTAAAATCCCAAAAAATAATTCTGAGAATTAACTTAAACACCTTGACAGTGTCCCTTAAAAACAGTATGACAGTAAAGTGCCAATAGGCATGGCAATGACCTCTTTGATAGGATCATTAACTCCCTGGTACTGGGAAATGCCAGCACCAAGGATTACACTGAGATTCAATTTTACTGAAGGCTACATTTAGTTTACCCACTTTTCATAAACCTATTATACTCATTATGTTAGAATGAAATGTAAATGTTTTGTGTAGCCCTCAAACTTACACTAAGATTTGAGAGACATGTACTTTAAAAAAGCACGGGGTAATATAAAAAATCAGTGGCAGAAAGTTTCATTAAGCACCAGGAACTAATTTTTGTCACCCCATACTCATTTGTAGGTAAATTTCAATAACCGGCAAGGCACATTTACATATATTCCAATGAATACTTATTGACAAATTTTAAATTACACTCTATGTCCCAGCTATCCCAGTAACTGACATACAACATACTAAAATGATTTATTAAGATAACATAAAAAACCAATTAATGTGAAACACACAGGCTATTGGCAACCACTATTCTAAAATTATGTAAGTACAAGTAAACATACCGAAATGTGTGCAATTCTAACTTTTTAAACCAGAAGATTTCTACTAACACACATTTATATTAATGACACATAAAAAAAATAAAAACTTTATTACAAAAATAAGTTACACTCGCCTCCAGCTTACAGTATAAAACAATTTTATTTGCAGGAATGCAAAATGATTGTTTGCCATGAGCATTTTGAACATATGACATGTCTAATTTTACTGTTAAATTTGCATTTACTGGGGAACTGGTGTGTATAAAACCTTAATTAAGTATAATAAGCTCTGATCTTCATTGTGGTGCCTATTGGGTATGTGATATAACTGCAGTATCCCTTTGGGGAAGGGGAGAAGGGAATTCTTTATACCAAGTCCTAATTAAACTATAATTTCACTTTTGATTTTAAGCTATAAACTTAGGACTTGGCAAAAAATTTTTTTGAGGGTGATTCAATAGAGGATGCTTCACCACTGAACACTCACTGTCATCAAGGTGCTTTAGAAAATTAAAAACATAGCACAAATGATTGTACTCTACTCTACAAGTTATCATGACCTGCATAAGAAATGGAAAGCTGATTCACATCTTTGCAGTGATCAGCAGTAAGAAATGCACTAATGAAACATACCTTTTACCTAAAAAGCTAAACTACAGCCATATACTAATTTCTATGATTTATGAAAAAACTTCAAAATATCCAAATGTCAGGCTTCGCTGTACAACTGTCAGTTTTAGTCTGACTTTTTATAAAGGGACACTGCAGTATTTAGTACAAGTTCGGATGCACTTTTTTTCTGAACATCTGATGTATTACAAAAGTAACATCTTGCTAAACTATTATACATCCAAATAACTACAATATCTGAAGAAGCAAGGCTGCTTTTTCAGCCACAAAATACGACAAAAGCAAGGCCTGTTATGATGGTCATGAGGAAGTCTTACAAGCCTCTGAAACTAAAGGCAACTAAGAATGTTACATTTGGTATATTAAAATCTTACCCTCATATCATATTTAACAAGCCTTGCTTTTATCTACAAAGATTTTCTATGTACAGTACATAGGGTATAGTTCAATCCTCTGCTACTGAGGTAGTTAACCAACCCTTTAAAAAAGGTTCTGAAAAGAACCACTATCTGGAATGCCTGACTAACCAGCTCTGATGATTACACCTGAAACTGCATATCTGAAACACAATCCAAAAGTGATTACTATAAAAAAGATATAGACAATCATGATTAACCTTGGTGAGCAGAAATAAGATTTAAGGATACCAACAATGGCATTCATCTATACCACTGCAATAAAATTTAAATGCACAAATTCAAGAGAATATTTCAGAATACCATTGCTGGGATCCTTAATTTAAAAAAACATAGGGGAAAAATCTACTTAGAGCAGATTTTTTAAAGAGAAGAACTTTATTCTTTATTAAGATACCATGCTAGAAGTTATGAAGGATTTTTGTTGGAACACATTTGGAAAATAGAGTAGCTTTAGTTTAATAACTTGCACTGCAGAGAAAATTGTTAAAGAAATTCATATCAAAGTCCAAGTATTAGTTCAATGTCCTGTATTTGATTCCATGATCTTCATAGGAAGGTCTTCTGCAATAGAATATGCTCCTATACAGCCGAGATATTTAAGGTTGCTTGATTTCCTTACCATTACTCCACTGCAAGCTT